AGTAGTAGTAGTAGTAGTAGTAGTAGTCTTCGTCGTCGTAGTGGTAGTAGTAGTAGTAGTAGTCGTAGTAGTCGTAGTAGTCGTAGTAGTAGTAGTAAGTAGTAGTAGTAGTAGTAGTAGTAGTAGTAGTAGTAGTAGTAGTAGTAGTAGTAGTAGTAGTAGTAGTAGTAGTAGTAGTAGTAGTAGTAGTAGTAGTAGTAGTGGTAGTAGTAGTAGTAGTAATGGTAGTAGTAGTCCTAGTAGTAGTAGTTGTAGTAGTAGTAGTAGTAGTAGTAGTAGTAGTAGTAGTAGTGGTAGTAGTAGTAGTAGTAGTAGTAGTAGTAGTAGTAGTAGTCGTAGCCGTATTATTCTTAGTGTTCGTATTATTCGTAGTAGTAGTAGTAGTAGTAGTAGTAGTAGTAGTAGTAATCGTAGTAGTAGTAGTAGTAGTTGTAGTAGTAGTCGTAGTAGTAGTGGTGGTGGTGGTGGTGGTGGTAGTAGTAGTAGTAGTGTAGTAGTCGTCGTCGTAGTAGTCGTAGTAGTAGTAGTAGTCGTCGTAATAGTGGCAGTAGTAGTAGTATTAGTAGTAGTAGTAGTAGTAGTAGTAGTCGTCGTCGTCGTCGTCGTCGTCGTCGTCGTCGTCGTCGTCGTCGTCGTCGTCGTCGTCGTAATAAGAACCGCGCAGCATAAAAATACCGACTATACCCAATCATAGTAATACTGCTAATAATGATGTTATGACTACTGCTGGCACTACTAATGATATATTAATTTAGCGAACACTATGAACAATGATATAACAGTGAGAAACCGGCTGCGAATCTTAATGTTACTAAGGGGGATACGAATAACCATAGGAACGATGAGGATCAGGAGGAGGAGGAGGACGATGATAAGGATAAGGACGACGGGGGGGCAGGAGGATGAGGAGGACGAACAATAATAATAACTAGAAGCACGGAAAACAAACTATACTGAAACTAGTAGTAATAATCATAGTATTAGTAATACAACGAGTACCTATAGTAATGCGATTAAGAACAACTGGAAATTCGTATTCGTATTATGAATACTGCTAATACGAATGCTACCAATCATTACCATCAGACGAATGATGGTAATAGTAATGATAGTGGCACCAATAACAATGTTAGCAGTCATGTTGCGGATACTGCTTCTAATACAAACAGTAGAAACCATGCTAATTAAAACCTATAGAGATAGTCGTAATACTGCTATTCACAAAAGTACATATTTCAATGCTACCATTGATACGGGTAGCATTGCTAATACTAATGCTAATGCGAATCCGAATGCCCATATTACGAGTAATACGGGTACTAATGCTAATACTATCACTAGTACTACTACTAGTCGTAGTACTCATCTAATACTGGTACTAACACGAATGCTAGCACTACTACTAACACGACTGTGACACGTATTAATGTGTTGTATGAGCAATCATGGTGGCAACCATAACACACATAGTAATACTGATTGAAATCGCGATACCTACCAATCATACTTGTAATACATATTCCAATGCTAGTACACATCAGCATGCTACTACCAACCATAATATTAACACGAACAATAACCATATTAATGAGAGGGGGAAGAGGTGGTGGAGAAGGAGGAGGAATGATGGAGGAGGAAGGGGGAAGGAGGAAGGAGGAAGGAGGAAGGAGGAACGAGGAAGGAGGAAAGAGGAAGGATGAAGGAGGAAGGAGGACGGAGGGAGGAAGAGGAACAGGAGGAGGAGGAGGAGGAGGAGGAGGAGGAGGAGGAGGAGGAGGAGGAGGAGGATGAGGAGGAGGAAGATGACGGAGGAAGGAGGAGGAAGGAGGAAGGAGGAGGGAGGAGGGAGGAGGGAGGAGGGAGGAGGGAGAGGGAGGAGGAGGGAGGAGGGAGGAGGGAGGAGGAGGAGGGGAGGAGGAGGAGGGAGGAGGAGAAGATGAGGAGGAGGCGGAGGAGAAGGAGGAGGAGAGGGGAGGAGGAGGGGAGGGAGGGGGGGGAGGGTGTAAAGCGAAGCTTCACAGGGTGCACTCCATTTCCACACGGCCAGCACTCGTCCTCGTTGCTGGTCTCCACCAGGCGCTCCTCTGGCACCTTCTCGCACACGCACGCACTGCTTAGCTGGGAGAGATAGGGTGTTGGGTATGGAGTGTTCGTATTGGGCTCAATATAGGTAGAAATAGGAAAGGCGAGGGAGGTACTCTTACCTCCGGGGCACCCGTGGCCCCGATGAAGGCCTGTAGCACAAATGGCTATGGACAGAGCGAATGACTGCACACTGAGATGAACCGAGAGAAATCGACACCGGTCCAAAAACACTTTCGCTCAAGTCCATAGATTGAAACAAACGGGCCTGAAACGTACGTGTGTCACTTACCAGCATGGGTTGCCACATCACCCCAGAGATCTGGCCTAAAATCAAGACAAGTCACATTCTCTAGAGCCTGGATGCCTAGACTCTTACGCTTCTTGGCCGACTCAAACATCTGATCGTGAACTAGACGCCACTTACACTCGTTACTGAAAAATAAATCTAGCTGCCATCGTTCATGGCCCTTGGTGAGACTGTTGGCGAGCATGGCGTCACTGTGTACCCAGCGTACAGGGCATTCACACGCTGATATCCCGTCCCTCAGGGCGAGCAGCTCAAGACCAGTCCGGAACTCCTTGCCACCCATGAGCTTCTCTGGACAGCGCAAACGATCATACAACTCTTAGAGTCGGTGATCAGGCAGCCCGGGATTTTCCGAACCTGGTCCCATGGATCTCTGAGGTCGGGTTTCCATCCCGAGAGTTCTGCCAGAAGGAATCTCACATATGTGACATCGTCCTCGGTGTTGACTGTAGCTGAAACCTCTGCTGCTGGCGGTGACCGACACGTGCGCTCGACTTTACCAGATCTCCAACTGATCAGGGAAACTCCTGTCTCCTCGCCGGAAAGGAAGCACAGCGGCACGATCCCGACGACGCGACCCTCAGTCGACTTGCCGTCAACACGGTTGCCAAAACGCGGCGTCGCCCCAGCCGACAACTGCCAGCTCGCTGTCCACGAACGGAAAGATCTTCAGTACCCTGTCCTTAGTCTCCTTGGTCCGCTTGATCAGCTTATTGACCTTCAGAAGGTCATCCACGGTGCATGACTCCGACAAGCTCTGCAGCAAGCTTAACTCCGCCAGGATGTCCGGCCCAGTCTGGGTGCCCTTCCACTGCAGGCTCCCCGTGGCAGCACGGAACTGGCTCTTCTCGGCGTTCGTCACGGGCGCTGAGGGTTGCTTCCTTCGTTCAGCTGGGACCTCGATCTCCTCGATCTGCTCTGTGTAGGTTGCCTGGCTCAGCGTGAAACCGAGATCAGGCCTCTGAGTGATGTCGACGCCGCACTGGGTGAACGTGTCGTATTCCCACTCGGTCCACCTGAACGCCTCCATCACCTGGCGCCTTGCCTGCTGCCAGACCTTGTCCGCTTCGCGGCCAGCGAACAAGAATTCATCCACGTGAGATAGAGCAATGGCTACTAGTCCGGGCCTCCCGCTGTTGAGGAACTCGTCAGGACCCATACACATGGATCAGACTCGAGTTGCCGCCAACTCAGCTCCTTCAGCTTGCGATTCACTGCCTGGTGCCATGCTCGAGGTGCCTGCACCAGCCCGTACGCCGACTTCTTCAGGATGGCCGCCTGACCAGAGCGCAGTCCCAGCATCTCCGCGATCTCGCCAGTGGGCTTGACGAACAGGTCACGGTCAAGCTCTTCACCCTGAAGGAACGCAGACTTCACGTCACCCTTGGCCACCCGCATCTTCAGGTTCGCCGCCTTCTGTGGAAACACCTGACGGGCGGTGCGAGTCGCTGTCGGAGCGTACGACTCCTCGGTGGTGAGGTCTGGGTCCTGGAAGCCCAGAATCACTAGCCGAGCCTTCGCACGTCGACCCCCGGTTTCTGCGGGATCGATCTTCCACGTCAAAACCCATCTGAGGCGCATCGGCCGGTCGCTGGGAGCCGTGACATGGCTCGGTAGACCTTCCAGGACCATCTCCTTGATCCACTCCTGCGCCTCCTTCACCTTGGCCTTCTTGAGCTTCTCCAGGTCTGCGGCCGACAATGTCCGCTCTCGAACCTCCGCACGCTGGCGTCGCAGTTGAGTGGCCACAAACGCTGGCAGGTCACGTGCGGCCGTGCCGCCTCGCGCACCTTCGGGAAGACTGATCTCCACCTCGATGGCGTTGTCCTCCCTGCTCCAGAAGCACTCGAACGGCTGGACCTCTGCCGTCAGGCCCTGCTCCTCGGTCAGGTCACGTCGCTTCTGTCTGTCCGACCGCTCCTTGCCGTAGTGATCTCCGCCGGCCGCCGCAGCTGGTGGAAGACCGTCCCAGTCATACGGTGAAGGTCTCGATGGAGTCGTTCGAGATTTATTTGGCGGCCTTGCAGGTGTCGCCGGAAACGTAGCCGTCTCCGGCTCCCGGCCCTGAGAGGCTGGAGCTGATGCGCTCGCTGCCGATGGTCCCACTCGCGGCTGTTTGGACGATGTGTGAGGCTCCGTCGGTACCCGCTTGCCGCTGATACGTCTCTTAGGCTCCTCCGCCGCTGGTGGAACCGTCGGAAGTGGTGGTGCATCTCCTGCGTCCACAAACTCCGTGTCGCTCGGGATCAGTCGCGGATCATCAGCGAGGTCCTCATACTGACCGGCTCTAAGACTCTGGCTCATGTTGTTGAACGTCCACGGCATCTCGGTACCATGTATGATCTCGTGCTCGGCCACCTCTCGATCAGAGGCATCTCGTAGCTGACAAGGATCACATCGAATGAGGCGGCCACACGCGTTCAGCCACACGCGAGGTCGAGGTTGAACTTCACCGTTCCTGTGAACCGTCTCCGTAGCCAGAACTCGGGCTGGACCGTAGAACCTGCCCGTCATGGAGCTGCTCTTCGGGTTCCTGAAATAGTACACCAACGTGCCCGGAGTGTATACATTCAGCTTCCGCGATCTGGCATGACTGGCCCGGCGAGCACGTTCGGCAGAGACCCATCTGAGCATCGCCTCCTGCGCCTGCCGCATGAATTTGAAATTCTCCCCGAACGCTGTGTCGACCGCCTCCGACTCCAGCGCCGGAAGGTTGACTGGATCACCTGGCGCGTCCATGAATGTCCCGTCGAGGTCTGGTGCTCGGCCAAGGGCCACCTGCAGCGGTGAGAAGCCCCGATGCCTGTCGAGCTCGTTATAGGCTGCCATCGCGCGCGCCAGGTACTCCTCGCATGACCTTCCCGGGCACTCGCGTGCCAAGACCGTCATCAGATCCTTGATGAGGCTGATGAGCCGCTCGACGCCGCCGATCTGCCAGTGCGCCTGCCCGGGGATGGGATCCATCTGAATGCCGCTGGACTCCATGTTCTCCCGGATGGTCTTGCTCATCCAGGCGCCCTCGGGATCGACTTGAAATATCCGTGGACGGCCAAAATAGGATATCCACCTGCTCCAGATCGAGTCCTTCAACTCCTCGGCGGTCGCGTTCTTACTCTTGACCATCTTGAACAGGACATGTCCAACTCCGAGTTTCGAACCCTGGTCAAGGTACAGCACTAACTTGAACTTCTCGTGGCTGCACGGGTCCTCCCACTCGGCTAGGTCGCTCTGCAAAACAGCCCACTTCTTCGGCACCTCATCCGCCGAGCCGACGGGACGTGGAGGCCCTTGCTTTTGGCTCTCGTCACAGGCCGGGCATCGCATGCCTTTCACGTGCTCCACGATCCTCTTGTCAGCACCTCGAGCCGCCAACGACCTGGCGACTTGGGCAAACGGACAGTGTCCGCATGCAGCGTGGATCCGACGGGCCGCGATCTCCACCTTCCGAAGCTCGTCCAGGTCGATCCCTGTCTTCGAGGCACTCACTGCGTAGATCGCGTCGATCTCTTCGTCCTCGGCCTCGAATTCGCGCACGAGGTTGCAGATCCCCTCCATCCTCGGCTCTTCCAGCATAGCCCGGGCCGCCCTCTTGACGAACGCGTCGGGGTAGTACGCTGTGGCCGCCGTCCTGACACCGCCGACACAAGGACTGTGCTCATGACGCCCGTCGCACCTGATGGCCATGCGCTGACACATGCGGTCGGAAGTGGTCCAGACCTCCCAGGGTTTGACCACCAGCAACCCCGTGTCACGAGCTTTGACGCCCAGCATGCAACTATCGCAGACCACCGGCCGCATGTCGCACTCCCTGAAGACCTGCTTCACCTCTGGCCACCGGTACGGCTGCAATTCCTTCGGCCACTCCCAGTGTACATGACCTCGATCCGCCACCTGGTCCATGACGAGGATCAGGCAGTTCCTGATGAGGCGCTTGGACCTTTTTCGACTCAAAAGAACCTGCGCCCAGACCTCTGGCTTGTGACGATTGAAGTTGTTATTGCAAGACCATGGCCCACAAGGTAGGGAGAACCGCATGTGCTCAGGACGGACTCGCTCTCGCTCAGCTCTGGCCTTTTGCAGGCCCGCAGTGGTGGATAAATCAAAACCGTTCCAACCACTAATTCGACTCGCACTGTCCGCACCCGACTCTTGCATCACGAATTGAGATAGGCCCGACGCTGGTGAGCAACAGGCCTCCATTAGCTTAACTCTCGCCGCCCCTGTCAGGAACGTCCATGCTGGCGTTGCACTCTTGTCCAGACACCCCGCCAGCCAGGTAGCCTGAGAGTCAGTGAGATCCTTCAGTGGCCCTGCGCGGCCGGCCCAGGCGGGCCGCTCGACACTGAGCTCGTTTCCTCCACCTTCTGCACCCTGGTCGTGAGCGCGTTCATGGCCATCTTCATGTCCCCAAGCAGGTCGATGATCTGCTCCTCCTTGGACGTCCCCGTCTCCATCGCGGCGGCCTCCTCGGTCATGGAGCGCTTTGCCGCCGTACGCTGACGAGTCTGGTCCATGACCAGCAGCTACGGGCCCACCGTCTTCTCGAGCTTCTCCCCTTTTACCCTGGGCTGAGGCAGTTCGAACTTGTTCCTCATGTCCTCGGACTTGATCCCCTTCATGACCAGCCAGTCGGTGAGACGCTTGAGGCGTGGATTGCTCCAGCTCACCAGCCACCCGGCATACTCCCGTTCTTTCTCCAGCAGCTCCTGGATGGTCAACGTCCGGTGACGGCCGAACGGCATCCTGTCGGAGCCCTTGACCATCCCCAGGCACTGCTCGTGTTTCTCGGTGATCAGGATCTGGAGGTCGCCGCGCGTCTCCTTGCCCGTCAGGACACAGCCCATGGTAGTCGCATCCTCGACAAGCTCGGCCTTCTTCTTGTGGCGCACGGGTGCACCACCGACTGGCATTGCCTTGTAGATCTGGCGCAGCCTGGCCCTCAGCATGTCGCACGTCATGTGGGTCCCGTCCTCGTCCCATAGCGCCAGCTCGGTAAGGAGCTCCGCCTTGCGCATGCGGGACGTGGCAGGGTGCTGGTACATCTGATCGTACGTCCGGAGGCTGCGGAAAGCTCGAGAAAGCCGACGCTTGAGCCGACGCACTCTGGGACTGAAGTGTTGTTGACCATGTTGGATTTTGTCTGCCGTCGGCCTTCCGTAGGGCCGATTCTTCTGCTTCGGGACCCCGAGGAGGTCCTCTGGATACTAGATCTCCCACGACATCTTGATTAGGTTCCCCGAGACGTCTGGATTCCTTCGGATTCGTAGACCTACTCTGTGGACCTGTGGTGACTCTAGTAGATCCCGTAGAGGTACACAGTGGACCCGTAGACCTGCTTTGTGTTCCCGTAGATCCTATTGGAGATCCCGTAGAGGTCCTCTGTGAGCCAGTAGATGTACTTGAGAACCTCGTAGTCTTACTCGGAGCTCCCGTCGATGCCCTGCAAGGCCCAGAGGATGTACATGGTATCCCCGTGGGGCCTGGGAGTGCCTCTGAACCTGCGCTGCTGTCGGTGATCGATGCCGCCAACGCCAGAGGTGATGACGATGAGGAGGGAGGGATGTATGACGCACCAGACTCATGCGACTCCTCGCCTGCTGGGACCCCAGCGGGCTTGTCTGCAAGTGCTGCCACTCCCCGACTCAGAATGCAATCTGCCGGCCTTTCGACACTCGCTGTACCGGCCAGGTTGTCGCACGTCAGGTCGATCAGTAGGTGGCCAGTACGGGACCTGGGGAACGAGATCATCCTGAACGGGTCTATCTTCTTGAAGATACCACAGGCTGCATCAAAATCCACGATGGCCCCCAGGTTGTTCAGCGTCTCAATCGACACCAGGATAGGGATGCCTTTCGCGTCGATAGCGTGAACGAAAAACGGTACGTATTCTCCTTGCACCACAAGGGTAAACTTGACCCGGCACAGGACACGCTTCACCTCCCCGTTGCCGAACTTGTAGACGGGCCAGTCCTGCAGGTCGACCTCCATCGGCGGATGCCCCCTTGAGATCAGGATCTCGTTGAGGGTCTCCACCGCCTCGATATCTCCAATGGTCTTCGTCGCCCCGCAGTCCATGATACCGTGCCCGTTCTCAGTGGCCCTCTCGACGATGTATGCCATCCTGACCTCTGGGTCGTCGAAGCCCACCACGTTGCCGAGCTCCTCTACCTGCAGCTCAGTCTCGTCATCTGAGCGGGTGTCGTACTCCGTCATCAAAACGAAACCGTGGAGCTTGGCGTCGCCGTCGCCGCCACCCCGGCCAGGTGCCGGGCGGTTCTGGCTCAACTTGGGGTCCGCCCTGTCCGGACAGCTCCCTGTGCGATGGCCACCTCCGCACTTGAGGCACGGACCCTGACGCCCGTCACTTCGCTGGCCCCCCCCGGAGCCGAAGAACTTCCTGCCCGTGCGGTGCCTGTTGATCTGTTGCCGTGCGTCCTGCAGCCTTCTCTGGCTCGCCTGGAACTGGGCGTAGGCTTCCTCTTCCTTCGTGACCGCTGTCGCGTAAGCCTCGTCGTCGACGCCTTCTTCCTCGCCTTCCGTTGTCGACGTCACTGCCATCGCATTGTCTCTCTCGTCGCCGTCGCCCCAGGTCTGCACGTCATCCCCGTAGAACGCCGCCGCGGCCACTTGCTGCCGGATGAACTTCGACTTCCTGTAGTCCCTGTCTTTCAGATTCTCGTCACTAGGCCACTGAGTCCTGAGAGCGCTCTCGACATTGTCGACTGTGAAATCGCCGCGGCACGATCCGATCACTGCTGCTATCTCGCCGCCGTCCAGGCCTGCGCGATGTAGTAGATACCATCCTCTGATCACACTCGGCAACACCTCTGGCAAGTCCTGGGTGGGGAAAGAGCATTGACTGCTGCCTCTGGCCCCGCCATGGGCCCATGGATATCTACCCCAGCTCTGCCATCCAGTGTTGCGCCACCTGTCCTGCCGTCCGCGGTCACCGTGCCACACCTGTCCGTACCGCTGAGCTTCGGGAACTTGCCTGCCTCGCACTTCAGGTGCTTCCTCATCGCCCTCGGGAGTGCCCTCTTCACTCTCGACGCGGTGCCACGGAGCATCACCTGGACTGTGTTGGCCGCCCGTCGGCCATTGACTGAATGAAGCTGCTTGGGTATCAGGCGTGTCCGGAATGAACTGGTCCTTGCCGTTCTTCCTGACCATTCTAGCGAGAGCCACTCGAAGACGCTGGTAGCTCTCGTGTACACGAAGGCAATACTCAGCCATGCCCTCACCGCGCCGGCGGCGGAGCTTCACGAAGTACTCCTCCATGTAGTGTCCGACGTCCTCGACCGGCTGCCGCATCACATTCTTCTGTAGGTACTCCAGCACGTAGTCAGCACCCCAAGAGTTGGACAGCCATCCGCGAGGCCGACCGATGCAAGCTGTTGCCGCTGCACCCGTCAGTCGAGCGACCAAGCTGGGGCCGCACAGATACCTGTCCTCCCACTTCGTGCCGTCCACGTAGTTCATCACATCCTGCTGGAACTTCTCCCACGTGCCGGCGCTGCCGTTCCACGTCGGCACCGTCGGGGTCTTCATGACCTCTGTCATGTCTCCGTGGAGCAGAAACCTGCTCCGCTACCATGTGAACTACCATGTGAAGCGAAGCTTCACAGGGTGCACTCCTTTTCCACACGGCCAGCACTCGTCCTCGTTGCTGGTCTCCACCAGGCGCTCCTCTGGCACCTTCTCGCACACGCACGCACTGCTGAGCTGGGAGAGATAGGGTGTTGGGTATGGAATGTTCGTATTGGGCTCAATATAGGTAGAAATAGGAAAGGCGAGGGAGGTACTCTTACCTCCGGGGCACCCGTGGCCCCGATGAAGGCCTGTAGCACAAATGGCTATGGCCAGAGCGAATGACTGCACACTGAGATGAACCGAGAGAAATCGACAGAGGGGGAGGGGGAGGAGGAGGAGGAGGAGGAGGAGGAGGAGGAGGAGGAGGAGGAGGAGGAGGAGGAGGAGGAGGAGGAGGAGGAGGAGGAGGAAGGAGGAGGAGAGAGGAGGAGAAGAAGAAGGAGGAGGAGGAGGAGGAGGCGGAGGAGCAGGCGGAGGAGGGAGGAGGATGATGATGAGGAGGAGGCGGAGGAGGCGGAGGAGGCGGAGGAGGAGAGGAGGAGGAGGAGGAGGCGGAGGAGGGGGAGGAGGAAGAGGAGGAGGAGGAAGAGGATGAGAGGAGGAAGCGAGGAAGAGGAGGAGCGGAAGAGGCGGAGGAGGAGGAGGAGGCGGAGGAGGCGGAGGAGGCGGAGGAGGAGGAGGAGAGGAAGAGGAGGAGCAGGCGGAGGAGGCGGAGGAGGCGGAGGAGGCGGAGGAGGCGGAGGCGGAGGAGGCGGAGAGGAGAGAGGAAGACGAGGAGGGAGGAGGAGGAGGAGGAGGAGGAGGAGGAGGAAGAGGAGAGGAGGAGGAGCGGAGGCGGAGCGGAGGCGGAGGCGGAGGGGAGGGCGGAGGCGGAGGCGAGGCGGAGGCGGAGGCGGAGGCGGAGGCGGAGGTTGAGGCGGAGGAGGAGGAGGCGGAGGAGGAGGAGGAGGAGGAGGAGGAGGAGGAGGAAGAAGGATGATGATGATGATGATGAGATGATGATGGATGATGATGATGATGATGATGATGATGATGATGATGATGATGATGATGAGATGATGATGATGATGATGGAGGAGAGGGAGGAAGGAGAGGAGGAAGAGGGAGGAGGAGGAGGAGGAGGAGGAGGGGGAGGAGGGGAGGAGGAGGAGGAGGAGGAGGAGGAGGAGGAGGAGGAGGAGGGGGAGCAGGAGGAGGAGGAGGAGGAGGAGGAGGAGGAAGAGGAGGATGAGGAGGAGGGAGGAGGGAGGAGGGAGGATGGGGAGGGGGGAGGGAGGTGGGGGAGGGGGAGGTGGAGGAGGAGGAGGAGGAGGAGGAGGAAGAGGACGAGGAATCATAATACTAATACTTATGAAAAACGAAGACGAAGAAGACGAGGACGAGGAGTACGAATAATAAGAAGTCTCAGACTATCAATAAGAGTAATACTAAGACGAATAATCAGGATACGCATACGAATAAGACGACGAATAAAACTACGAATGATACGACGACCATGACTAAACACGATACTAATACTATGAATAATAATAGCAATACGAAGAATCATACTACTATTAACAAGACTACGCGTACGATGAATACTAACATAATAGCAAACATAATATTACTGATACCACGAATATTAATACGAAGAAGAACCCTAAGCATAATAATAATAACAATGCTAATACTAATCAGAATCACAATACTAACAATACGAATAATAGGAATACGTACTACGCATATAATACTAATAATAGCAATACTAATACTTATTATACGATTTCTAATACTGTCAATACTAAGGAACTAACGCGAACCATAGCACTACTAATATAATATAATGAAGAGTAAGAACACTAATCCTACACATAAGAAAACAAAGACTCATAGTAGTATTAATAATAAGAAGAGGAGGAGGAGGAGGACCATAGGAGGAGGCAGCAGGAGGAGGAGGAGGAGGAGGAGGAGGAGGACGAGTAGGAGTAGCAGGAGGAGGAGGAGGAGGAGGAGGAGGAGGAGGAGGAGGAGGAGGAGGAGGAGGAGGAGTGGGAGGAGGAGCAGAAGGATGCAGGAGGAGGGAGGATGCCCAGCATCCCAGCCGCCGGCTTGGCGCCCAGGCCGCGGCCTTCGTCCTCCGCGCGGTGTCGAAGCACTCCCCGCAGCTCGCGCAGGCCGGGCTCCGCGGGAGGGGGGCGGCTCCGCCCGCTATTGGCCGCTCGTGGACAGAACCCCCAGCAGTGACACGTCGATTAGTGAATTGTCCGTTTTCGGTATTCGAGAGGGCGCCGTGGCCGTTATTTTCCAGGCTTGCGCCCGCCAGGTTTGGGCCTCAGGTCGTTTTCACTAAACCACGTTTTGCTAAAGGGGGGTCTGTCCATCCCCGATATTGGCCGCTCGTTGCGGGTGGCTGCTGGCGCCCAGTTTCCGAGTTTCAGAACAGGCGGAGGTACCGACGCCGCTGCTCGTC